TTTAAGCCAAATGCTTTATAAGATAGTATATAGATATATAAAATCATCAAATGTACTCATCAATGGATATACACTATATATTTATCATGAAAAGTAGTTTAAGGAATCAAATATGTTAAAGAAAATTAAAGTTGATTGAGAGGAGGGTTAATGGGAAACAAAAACTTAATTGACGGTGTTAGTAATAGGAGGGACCATATTCGTTAAAGAATGTAACTAAAGGGATGTTTCTTGTTAATAATTCTTTTCAAGGACTTTATTTATTAATTTATGTAAACTATAAGGACCACATTTGCATTTTAACTCCTAAAATAATTGTTTTTAAAGTTCATAAAGATTTATGGGTCAACCTTGTATCACAGGACCCCTTTGGACTATTAAGCAACCTCCCTATTTTTAGTTATACAGGAAATGCTTATCGGTAGAATTTAATATTATCATTTATTTATTAGGTAAAATTTTAGTCTATTAAAACAACATTGTATGCAATAATTTATCCGGTAAACGCTAACAGTGGTAAGAGACGTCACACTCATTACCGGGTAAGACTTTTGTTTTTTGTCTCGCTTTTACCGGGTAAGATACTAGGTTCTTATCATATTCATTCGATAAGGTAATTTGACTTGGTAAGCACTTATCCAGATAAACGTGTGGTAAACGGCTCATTATTTATCATGAATCGAGATTATTGATAATATTAATGTGCTTTTATGATTGTTTTTGACCATCCATTTATTACAACCACTATCTACCAAACAGGTTAAAGGGTTGGTTTACTCAATGTTTACTGGATAAGTGTTTATCTAGTGTTACTATCTTATTGAGTGAACATAGCAATAACTGATAATTTTATCCAGTAAAAGACTTAACAGAAACTGAGAATCTTACCCGCTAAAATCATTACTGGTGTAGTGGTTAGTTCACGACCCTATTACCATTACCGGGTAAAAGTTTCTTATTGGTGTAATGGCTTATGATTTTGTCGTGAAAGTTAGGGATGGACCCAATTTAATAGATACCACTGCAGCTTCAAAATATATACGGTTGCACAAAACATAATAATACGGTAATACATTTCACGACCCTATAAAATATGTTCACATTACGACAGAGAAACGAAGCGGTGGCCCACGACACCGTATCTATTGAATTGTGTCCATCCCTAACTACATAAGGTAACCAACGACGGTGACGCTTACTGGTAAACGTTTTCCAATAAGTGTTTGATAAACGATCCAAAAGAATGACATTTTAATTTAAGTTGGTTATAATTATTAACTCTATTAACCACAAGGGTGGTGCCTGATTGGTTTGAGCTCGACTCCAAAGGTCAAAAGTACCTGGAGGTCCCAGGTTCAAATCCAATGAGGAATAAAAATCCCCTTATGGCCACGGAGGATCAAATACGGTGACTCCGGACTATATGCAAAACAGGTGGTCGCCCTAGGATTAGTAAGCTCGCATAACGGGTTGGATATTCAGGTTAATAAAAAGAAATTATAAACTCTCTTTGGTTCATGTAACTATAAAGCATCTCTAACATATATTTTATTTTTTATTATTAAAATATTATATAATTTATCATATCAATATACTTTTTAAATAAAATTTATATGAAGTAATAATAATTCAATCTTATAAATGGGAACAAATAAAGAATAATTTATCTGTCCTTACTATACAGTTTTAGAAAATTTTATAAATTTTTATAAATTTTGGGTCTGCTCTGATTTTGTTTATTTTAGATAACAATATAGAAAATTTGTTGGAACAAAATAAAGAACAATATCTTCATTTTATCTGTTAGAGATGCTCTAAACACCATCCACCCCTGTTTGCATACGTCATAATCTTCCTAAATCCTATTGCAAAATCAGATATATTTGGTTTGTTTGATTTGATTTATTTACTTTATAATTGCTTTGTTAATTTAATATCTTACAAATTTGTTATCATAACTCATGTTCTTATTCTTGTTGGTAACCGTAGGTTTTTGAGTCAGCTTACTCGTATTGACTAATCACACGAATGATCACAGATGACTTGGAGTCATCACAGGTAGGGGTGCTCAAAAACTCAACCAACCCCATGCAAAATAACTCGACCCGAAGCAACCCTATGTCTAATAGAGTTGTAAAAATTTCAAACCGTAGGTATTGAGTTGATATTGAGTTACTATTATTTAAACTCAACTCAACCCGATAAACCCGATATCCTTTTATTTATTGAATTTAATATGATTGTTGATTTTTTTATTATTATATACATTAGACAATTACAATATCACGTACGCTCTTTATATACACATATTTTCAATCTATCCACATTTTTATATAACACATTCATATATATGTTCAGTAACTGTGAAAACATATATATAAATTGAGAAAATTAATTGAATGTGATGTACATAAAAAGTATGGATAAGTTGTATCAAATGGTTGATGATGAAAAATAGATTATGAGTAAAGAAATAACATATTCAATGTTAGAATAATATTTTACTGTACTAAAATATCAACCCAACCAACCCGTACGGTTTGGCTTGGGTTGCACTATGGTTTGGTTTGGGTTAAGATTTTTCAAACCGCAAGCATTAGGTTGAGTTGTTCAAATATCTTCAGCCTGATCAACCCAACCCATGAGCACCTCTAATCGCAGGTGAACATCCATGACCATGAGGGTTTTAACAACGCCTGAATACAAACCTGAAGTTGATGAAATTTTTCATTACACCACCCTGAGGCTTAACCAGAATGCCACAAACATAATTATTGAGGACATTCTTGTACTATAAATGTAATTATATTAAAATTGGCACTTGTTTGATAAAAATAGTTTGGAATGGTGGTCAGATTGTCTTTTTCTCAAAGTACAGGGGTAATATTGAAACTTTTTGTAACATGGTCAGAGTCGGAGTGTTTTGCATGTGGTCAAAAAAGGATTGCTTTTTTAACATTTTTATTTATTTATTTAATGCTACAAAATATAAAATAAAAAGATATATATGAAATTAAAAAAAAATAGAAAGGTCTGGTAGTTTATATAAGGGTAAATTATATAAAAAAAGTAATGTATTTTAACTTGATTTCTATTTTGGGTAATATACTTTTAAAACTTCCACTTTGGTACCTAAAATGTAAAGTTTTAAATATTTAAGTACTCGAGTAACAGGTTGGAGCATTAACCGGCTATCATGCTGATGTGATGAGTGATGTTGTATCCAACTCAGTATTATTTGCTATTCAACTTAATTTCATCTCATCATTCGCCACATCAACATAATAACAGTAGTCGGTATGCATAAGCTGATCCAGGAGGCTCACAGTCACTCAAAAAAATCATATGAGTATATACGCGCGTGTGTGTGTATACATATACATATCATTTGGGAAAAAATACATTATGTATGTATGAGCATATAACGGTTTATGTTACCTAATATAGGGTAGGGTTCCGGTGAAAATGAAAGTTTTTGTGAGAATCATATAAGAGATCTCTATCTTTTGATCAATCATAATTAAATGTCAACACTAATGAGGTGCACCGAATTAATTCCATATAAAGCGTAATTCATGGGTGTGGCATGAAATTAAAAGTAATCAAAAATTCAGGTATATTCTTATCTTTATCGCCATAACTTCATTTTTCACACGATGTTTCACTACCTAATATAAATACTAAAAGATAAAAACTCTCACTTACCTTACCGGGTAAGATTCTAGTTTATCAAAATGGTATCGTATGAAACAATTTACAGAATCATCAAAATGACATTGTATGAAACAATTTACCCGGTAACCGCTAACCGTGTAAGTGTCGTCACCAGAAAATATGTCTTGTGACTAAAGTTTCTAATTCATTAGAAAAAATTACACTTATTCGTTCTTATAATCAGTTATTTAATTTACTTTATATCCATTTTATTTTCATTTTACATATTTATTATATTAACATACATAATTGTATATTAATCAAAATAAATTAAATAATATGTATCTTTTTTTTAATACAACTTATCCATACTTTTTAGATCTTACGCATGTCACACTCAATTAATTTTCTCAATTTACATATGTATGTTTCACAGTTACTGAACATATATACGAAGGAATACATGTGTATATGAAGAGGGGACGTGATAGTGTACATATTAATAGAAACTCGACAGTCATATTAAATCGAAGAAATAAAAGGATATTTGGTTCATCGGGTTGAGTTGGGCTCAAATAATAGTAACTCAATATCAACCAATACTTACGGTTTGAAAAATTTACAACTCTATTAGACATCATGTTGCTTCAGATTGAGTTATTTCGCGTTAGGTCGGGTTGATCGGCTTTTCGAGCACCCCTAGGTGCAAGTCTTGAAAGGTGAGTATGATTTTTCTGACTGTTCTCGAGGACCCATGTATGTGGTTTCACAAAAGGAAAAAACGAAAACCACGAGGGGGTGTCATGTTGGCGAAAGACCTAGAGGGATGCGGTAGAATATCCATTTACACCAGATTCAAGTCCAGACACTAGCATCCTATGGCCAGGCTTAGCCTGTGACAGTCACAATTTATCGGGATGTAGTCTAGAAATTTGCATAGATAAACCTTTCCAAAAATAGAAAATTCATGTGTAATGCCACCATATCTCATAACACATTCTACACACACATCACATGTTTTGTTTAGTAAATGCTTAGAATGATGTTCTTATAGGTACACCGAAAGGACCTCTGTTGGTGATATATAATTAATTTATCAGTTTTCACTACATCATCCACAACTATTATATAATATTTAAAATCATCAATAACTTTTAAGGATAACTTATCTAGTTTTGTCTCATCCAATCCTAATCATACCAAATACCAGACATATTTTTGTTTTGTCCGGTCCTATCAACTCCTACTCTCTTTATCTTGTCTTATTTTATCTAGTACTTGTTCAATCATGTATGCATATCAAACGTTACCTTATAAATTAATCTGCAAATTTATCATGTTGATTTAATATTAAGAAGTCAAAATAGCCATTTGTTGATTAAAAATGGAAAATTGGAATTCTGATGATTGAATTGAACCAACGACCATTGTTTTCCAACACCAAAATTAAGCGCTCAAGAATCCAATTTCGTCTGGTGCAGCTCTGAAGAACAACACAACAATCAGAGGTGGATCATCATCCATGGCGCTTTCACGACTTCGAAATCATCCCGTCATTTCGCGAGCACCGTCTCTGCTTAGGGCTCGACTCCTTTCCTCCACCTCCACCTCCAGATCCCTTTCACGGTGATTATTCTTTACTTCATTACTATTCCCCCGATTTCATACTTATTCCTGCTTTTTTTTTTTTCTTCTTCTTTTCGTAGTTTTCTTATACACAGATGTGTTGCGAATTGCCTAGATTTTTTGTTTTCAATTTATGAATTCGTAGTTGTTTTTAGTGATTGTACCGTTATTAATGCGAGTTGAGATCCAAATATGACTGAACTGACATCCTTGCTCTTTGTTTGATGAGAATCGGGGAATTGTAATTTCTTTGATTGTTTTAGACGAACATCGACTGATTGTCAATCTAATGGAAATTTTGCATTTGAATCGGTGGTTTTTTAGAGAAGTCAAGGGGAAGAGGATAGGGTTTGAACTTGTTCAATGTGTTTGAGCGAATTTCCTTAATCAATTTAATAAGAAAACATGAGCTCATGTGTGTGATAGCGAGATTAAGGTAGTTGATTTGACCACCCAACTACCTGAAAGCCTATACGGTTTTTAAGTAGGGTATCCTCCAGCAAATATTTTTATTTTCATTGTCATTTATAGTGTTGCCTATGTAATTTATAAAAGTGTTACTTTGTATGTTTCAAATAATCTATGTAAATGCTGGGGGATCATGGACTATGGATTTAAGAAGTTAACAACTTAACAACTTTTCCTTTGGTTGGGAAGGGAGCCATGAATGGACATATGGTATAAGTTCCTCCCATTTTGCTTGCATTAGGAGTAAGAACATCAGTTGGGTCAAACTTATGTTCTTCTGGCACATTTCTTGTTTCTTTCGCAATATTGACCAAGCTAGAGACATAATTATTAGAAGGACTTCACTCTTTGCTAGCAAACAATAAGGAGCTTTCCCAAATAATTTTAGTTTCTAAGATTTGGATAATCAGCTATACAGAGTGGGTCCCAACTCTGATTTGGAATATGGGGGAAGCCTTTTGGATATGGGTAGAAGAAGAGGCATGTGTACTTCTGTTGTTATTAGCAAATGCATCTGTACTTTGAGCCAGATTTGGTTGAAGGATTGAAAACACTGGCTGATGGCTATTTTTGTGAGTTTTTCACTTCACTGCTGATGTTCTTTTTATTAAACCTTTGATATTTTTACGATGTTACTTGTATTGGCTGGGCTATGCATCTTGGTTTTTGTTGTTACTTATTGGAACATTCTTTTTGCAGCAATTCCAGATTGCAGAATTCTATTCTTGACGACGGTGGCACTTTGTTAAGGTCTAACTTTACTTGCTATCCATTACCTCTGTCAAGTATCAAGTATCAAGTATCAACATGCTATTATAACGTCTTATTATTTCTATCAACTTTCTCCTGTGTCCATTTAAGTTTATTTTCATGTACTATTTGCATTTCATGAATTTTAATTAGAGAACAAGAAAAGTTAATTTATATTAATCAAATACTAGTTGAAGTTTGCCATGGTTCAAGCTGCCACGATTGCAAGTATCAACAAAGTTCTTTCTGAGAGTGAAACAACAATACTTTTGTGGCACTAATAATTTGAGCCAAAGCCTAAGCAGTTCACAACAGTAACTTGCTATTGTGGCACTAATAATTTGAATGGCCTAAGTCTATTTCTGATACTCTATCAACACCAAGGTGCAACCGCCGTGTATACTAATTTATTCTCTTTTCATTTTTAGAGTCTCGAAAAATCTGCTAAACATGGTGTTTCTCCTGACAGTGTAAAAAGGGCACATATTTCAAAGAACCAGTGGTTCATCTGATGCCTTTGTTGAGTTAAGCTAATTGTTTCTGACCTGTGTTAAACTAAAAACCAACTAAACTCTTGCCATTGGGAAACCATCATTTAATTTAGTACTCAAGATAAACTTAACTCTTAATGCATCGACAAAGAGCCCAAAAAGCATGACTCTAGAAGCGAATTGAATTGCTGAATAAAACTATAAAAATCTGCGCAAAGATAGAAGTAAAGCATTATCACACATTGTTCTGAACTCCAATCTACTGAAATCCCAGATGTTTTGAGTTCAAATTTAATTCTAAATCTGTAAATACCACATTGGAGGTGCCTTGCATTCCATCATTTGCTAGAGTATCTTTTTTGTACTGAGTAATTGTACTAGGCTATGGCCAATGATCCTTTCTATCTTCATAATTTTCTGACATTGCGGTTTATCAGGCCAAAAAAAATTTCTGCATTCGGTGGAGCTCATGACCAATCTAAACTAAAGGTTAGCGGTTAAATTTTAAACTTGCTTTTGCTTTGACAAATGTCTATTTCCTGACAACGGCTGTTTGTTTTCAGTTGCTGAGTGGTATCAGATGTTACTCGTCTGCAGGTATGAATCTTTTTAGTTCAAATTTGCACTTTTTATTTGCTTTTATACATGAAATCCTGGTATAAATTCCCCAGTTTGGTTGTCAGAGAACCTTGCATGTGAACTTCACATTAACTAACAACCCTTGTCATTGAGGTCATAAAGAAGGCCAGTTTACTTTTAACCTTTCTCCACCACATACCTGGAGAGAGTAGGTAGTGGCATAACTTATGATATTGGTCAGAAACAGAGGGAAGAATAGTAGGATTGCACAGTCTCCAGAAGCTAAACATACAAAAAGAAGTTAGGGAAGTTTAAGAACAGACGGGGAAGGAGAATTCCTGCTTGGTCTCAGTCAAGCCCTGCAGCCATGAGCACAAACGAAATCATTTCACCATCGCATAAATGTTATTTTAGGTATTCATATGTAAGACTAAGGGTAAGAAATTTGGTGCTACAAGGACTAGAATACTTCAAGACAACTAAACAATAAATTGATACCAAATGGCCCGATTATGCGGCTAAACCAGTCTTCCTGAAATAATAGGACAGTTTTTTGTTAGTTAGCTTTGTATGAGTATGAAAACATTATCTTGGATTAGAGAATGAGTATAAGATACTATATCATGGATTCTTTATGATATTTTAAGCGGGTAAAGGGAGGAAGATGAGTATGGTATCTGGAGGATAGGAATATAGATGGATTAATTGCACAGAACTTTTGTTGAATATGTACAACTATACAAGACTGTGCACACATACATTGTTGGTGGAATTGGATGCCTGATCCCAAAAGACGAGTAATATTTGAATTTCATATATAACTGGTGTTTAAGTGAAGCCCACTAGAGAGAAGTTAGCTGGCGGGTTCTTGCCCGCTTCTCTTTGTCTTCGAGCTTGAATTCTTCAATCCACTGTGCGCCCCTCTCTCTAGAGAGGCGTAAGCACTTTACTCGAACGGCCTGTTCCGAGGTATGAAGTCAGTGAAAGTCCATCATTTTCTTGTTTGAGTTTGCGAGAATCCAAGAATCCTGTCTCTGGTATTGGAACTTATGTATTTGCAAATTGTAGACATTCTATTTCTTGCTTTCATCAAGGAGACTGATTTCCAGTTGGCAATGGTTTCTGAAAGTTATATTGCTAAACATAATGGGATTTTCCATATGCAGAACCTCCTGCACATACAGTTATTGAAATGCCAGCTCTGTCACCTACGATGGTAAGATGAGGACCTGATTCATATTTTTTCCCTTTAGGTGTAGAAGGTTTTATTTGCTTTCCGTGTTCATAATCTTTACATATTTTTTTTCTTTGTTGTAGTCTCAAGGTAACATAGCTAAGTGGAAGAAGAAAGAAGGAGATAAGGTCAGTTGTATGCAGAAATTGTTACTGTCATAGGGACTTTCCTTTTCTTATTTTCAGTTCTGCGCATTGCAATATGAAGTTGAAATATTGAAGGTTTGATATTTATTATTGGTAATTATGGTTGATTCTCTTCTTTGATTGTTTGTTTGTTCTAACAGATAGAAGTGGGTGATATCATATGTGAAATTGAGACAGATAAAGCTACCCTTGAATTTGAATGTCTCGAAGAAGGGTACTTCTATATTCTCTATTTAATCTACTCCATAATATAGGATATCATCTACTATCTTCATGTCTCAACAGTGTTCCTTGCCATTAAATTGCAAGCCTAATCTTAAGGCTCATATTTAGTTTGTGCCTAATTCTAAGCCATATCTATTTTTCGTTTTAATACCTTGGACATTGATTCAAGCTGTGTTTCGTCACATCTTTGATTTGCATTATAGTTCTTACTCCAATTTTCATAAATTCCTTGCAATGATCCTTAACTACTATACGTTTCTTGGAATGATGTCTTTGACCACCACATGCAGGTTTTTGGCAAAGATATTGGTGCCCGACGGTTCTAAGGATGTGCCTGTTGGACAGCCTATTGCAATTACGGTGAACTTACTTTATATTGTTATTTTGATCGTCTTTTGTGTTCCCAGACAAGGTTTTTAACAGCATTCTGTGTGTTTCTTGAATTTAATTTTTGTATAAATTTGCTTGATTGTAAGAGGTTTCCACATATTGAGCTATGCAATTTCTTATGTGGAACTGGAACAATGAACACAAGAATCCTTATCTGGGTTGGCGAAAAATAAACTCAAAATAAATTTAAAAATGGTGAAACCAAATAAAAGATATAAAGAGGTGAACCTCCTAGAGTTCCCCATGCACGATCAACTCCTTTTGTATGCTCTACACACACTAATCTCTTTCGACTACTTTCCCAATGTTAATGTTGGCAGGCCTCTACCTCTCCCAATGACATCCTCTTAGGACAAGTCTCGTGATCCACCCGATGCATATGTTGAACTTGATCGCACAACCTCAAACACACGACCTCAACTTCTTCTAAACCTTGTCATGCCGACCTTCACCTAAATATCTTTATTTCTAAATCTATTCTTCATGATGTGGTTATACATGTTTCTCAAACTTTGTAGTTCTACTACACTTGTCTTGGGTACATGTTATCTTTTGGTGACATTTCTTCATCTTCCATCCTCTAGAACTTACCTTTCAATATCAATGGAATTTTTAAATCACACAAAGTTCCATAGTTTATCATCATTTCATCCACCTTGCTCTTCTCTTGTTACTAGCATCCAAATTGATCCCTCTGTTCTTTTGTAGCAATGATCCTAAATAACAAAAGATCATTCTAACAGCCTTGTGTAGTTGTGTTTGCATGTGCTTAGTTTATCTTCCACTTTCCTATCAAACTGCTGAAGTGCACTGTATGTACTCCTATTCATACCGATTAACCTTAAATTCCCAGTTCTTTATAGCTCCAAATCTGCTGCAACATCTTATCTATCTCGATCATCACGATACCTTGATGAAAAGCGTAGACCATGTTTATTATCATCTAAAATCCTTTGCAAGCTCACCAATAGCTAAAGCAAAAACAACAAGATAGTGTAACCTAAGGGAATAGGATTTTTTTGTCTTGTCATTCCGTGTTCTCATGCTCGATACAATGCTGCCATTTCTTTCTTTAACTGTAGTGATGGGCTGGTGGCTTTCTTCTTCTTAAGAGCCAACCATGTCAATTCTTAAACTTCATATCACATGCCTTCTTGCAAATGTTTGTTATGACCCTTATTCCTCCATGAGTCCCCTGCTCGAGATAAGAACATGAATTGTTGATTTCTCTCGCACAAAATCCAAATCGACTTTTCAACCCTCAGTCTTAAGTCTTGACCTATATCCCATAACCCGCTTCGGTAGTTTTATTTTATGAGTCATAAGGCTAATCTTTGCTGTACTAACTGATGCATATTTTTTCATGACTGACATGTACATATTTACTAGGTTGAGGAATTAGACGATATAAAAAATATCCCTGACAGTGTTCTCGGCGGGGCAGAGGTTAAAGAGACACAGCCAGCCCAATCTGATGTGAAAACTGAAGACACTGTAAAGGAGTCAAGTTCCGTGAAAATTGATGCATCTGAACTTCCTCCGCATGTCTTCGTTGAAATGCCAGCATTATCACCGACGATGGCAAGTTAATCAAATGGGAGTTTAGTTGATGTCAAAGTTGATCTCATTTCTCTTATTGAAGCTCTAAACATGATGTTTTCAATAAATTTGCAGGACCAGGGGAATATTGCTAAGTGGAGGAAAAAGGAAGGTGACAAGGTTAGTCGGATGTAACATGGTGACAGTGAACCTGCATTGAGATCATTGAGGTTTACTATCAAATTCACTAGCCTGAACCATTTTCTTTGTTCTTTACTTCGTCTGATAGATTGAGGTTGGTGATATCATATGCGAAATAGAGACCGACAAGGCTACCCTTGAATTCGAATGTCTTGAAGAAGGGTATAATTCTTATCTTCTGTTAAGCTTCCAAAATGCTCAAATCTGCCTGTGAATTTAGTGTGGCTTGTAGTTGCTACACTATATTTAAGGGGGTGTTTGGTTCAAGCAGGGAATGAAAATGAAAATGGCAGGGAATGAATTTTCATTCCGTCTAGTTCGACCTGGAATGAAAAATTAGGCTTCTAGGGGAATGGACCTATTATATTATATAAAACCAAACGGTGTCTTTTATTTTCATTCCCATTAATTACTGCTTAATACCTCTAACCAAACACCCCCTGAGATCTGTTTTCATCGTCATTGAGGTTTAATATCAAAGCATCTTCACGTGATCAGTATAGGATTGATTTTTTGTAGTTGGGGTATCCATCAATGCTTACATTTTTTATGGAATACTGACTGCAGATACCTTGCAAAGATACTGGCACCTGAAGGTTCAAAAGATGTTTTAGTGGGACAACCCATTGCAATAACAGTAAGTTATTTCTATTCTTAAAGTGGAACAATACTAATTTTCTCATCATGAACAGTTGGGCATTTTGAACTATTGATTAAAGCCGTAGAGACCTTTTTTTGAATTGCTTTTCAATACCAAAATGTAACAATCACCAAGAACAAGTTGGAACTGATGTTACTGTTTTACAAGGTTGAAGATGCAGCTGATATTGAAATGGTAAAATCATCTGTTAGTGGTAATTTGGCAGCCAAGGAGGCGAAACCAGCTCAGCATGCGACCCATGATGATAAAGTGAAAGTACAGAGATCCAGCTTTGCTAGAATTAGTCCATCTGCAAAGTTACTAATCGCAGAACATGGGTTGGATGCTTCGTCAATAATGGCTTCTGGTCAACGTGGTACTCTCCTGAAATCGGATGTTTTGACCGCAATAAAATCTGGCACAGGTGCAGCAAAAAGTTCGTCATCTGAACGTAAAACACCCTCACCAACTCAGCCTCAGACACATACTTCTTTATCACTATCATCTGAAATCCAGCAGTCAAATTCTTACGAGGATCTGCCAAATAGCCAAATTCGTAAGGTAGAGATTCTTGTTTCTGGTTACAGTCTTACAGTGTACCTTCTATATGTATATACAAATTAGATTCACAATTTCATAATGGTCGATTTCAGCTGTCCTTGGTAGGTAAATTCCATGGTCTTTCTAGCATGCGTTGGCTATGTGTCATGTATGAATGTATCTGCTGGATGTCTAACATTCAAGTGTTAAGCATTTACCATCTGTGAGACGAACCATCCCTACTGTATGGTGTGTTGAGTAGTAACATCTATTCATGGAAATAAGGATAGTTAATTCTTGATGTTGAAATGAACGAACTGAACTATGCAGTCATTCCATTTGCATATTCACGAAAGAAAATCTTACTTGATACTTCCATAACACTTCGATTCAGTGTCTTTGCAGCCAGACTAAATTCTTTTGAAAAACATGTCTTTTGAGTGGTGATATTAGTTCATTAGTTATTCATTACCCGTTTAGTAACAATGCTCAAGTTAACATATACATTTGAGGTTCTAATTATGTCTTGTGGAACTTGTTGTTCATTACCCATCCAGTAACAATTCCCAAGTTAATATACAAGTCGTTGTCTGACAGCAATTTGAAGTAGATTAATATTCACTTTGACATTCACAAATGCTGTACTTGAGGATTGTTTTGTTTGCTTATGGAAGATGTTACCTAGTGTTGTAAGCTTTATATACTTGTTTTGCAGGTGATTGCAAAAAGGTTGCTCGAATCAAAACAGAACACACCTCATTTATATTTATCCTCAGGTCTTAAAAAAGTTTTTACAGTGAGTTTTCGTGGTGAACAGCAATGAATTTGTGATTAAACTGTTTAATGGTTCCTGACAGATGTTATACTGGATCCACTTCTATCTTTTAGAAAGGAACTTAAGGGTACGATTCAGATCTTTTTCCTTGTTACGTTTGCTTTTTCCAGCATCTAAACGGATATATATTTTCCTTCCCATGCAGAAAAATTTGGCGTCAAAGTCTCGGTTAATGACATTGTTATAAAAACTGTGGCAATCGCATTGAAAACTGTCCCAAAAGCTAATGGTAAGGTTTTCTTAGGTAGTTTGTATATGTAAGCCAATTTTACGTGTCTGCCAAGTATCTCATACAACTTGGATTTGCTTAATTGCTTATAATGTGCTAATGGTTGACTATGAAATTACGTCTCAGCTTTCTGGGATGACAAGAAAGGGGAAATTGTATTATGCGATTCTGTTGATATATCAATTGCAGTCGCTACTGAGAAGGTATCGATTTCTTTTACATTTTATTTCTGTTTATTTTCTCTGCAATCGCTAGGGTTCCTAATCTTATTATATCTCTCCAAATTATAGGGACTGATGACTCCAATCGTGAGAAATGCCGACCATAAATCCATATCATCTATTTCCTTGGAGGTATTATTGGTGCTTAAATGTTTATTAGTTTGATAAGCGACATCATTATTGTTTCTCTCTCACTTAGGGTTCAATGGTGGACTAACATTAGAGATGGCCAAAATGGTCCCGGCCCAGCCAGGGACCAGGATCAATTACGTTTTTTATGAAAATTCAAGGCCCAGTTCGGCCCGAGACTGGTTAAGGAACCAGGACCACTTAGGCCCAAATTTAAACAAAAAATAAAGTTATCATAAATTATATATCAAGTTTTCAAGATTTCTGTAAGATTTTCATGTTCTTTACCCAAAACTTCAAGTGTTTTTGTAAGTTTTTCAAGTTCTTTTGAAGTTTTCTTTTAAGTGTTCCAATACTGAATTTCAAAAATCGTAATTATAGAAACATTTATAACATTCAAAAAAAGAAGATTTTAAGTGTATTTGAATGACACAGTTAGACATTTTTAAGTGTATTTCAATAAGATATTATACAAAAAAAGAAAATCTTCATATAAGATTTTTATATGTTCAAAATTGATTTTTGGGGGGAAAATGGGACTGATTTGGGCCTGGCTCGGGACCTGGACTGGTTCTATGGACCGGGCTTTTTTGTACACGGAGAACAGGCCGGGTGTTTTTGTCGGGACCGGGGCTGGTTACAAAAGGAAAATCTCGGACTGGGACCAATTAATCTGCTTAGGATCCCAGTTCTTCTATGTGTCATACTCCCTCCCTCCATGAAAATTGTTACGGGACTTGACACATAGTTAAGGAAGTTATTTGACCATTTGTCAAATATATAAATACCCTTCAATAAATTCAAAATAAAGGAATTTTCTGGCCCTAAATTATCACCGTCAATTTATTTGTGATGATGATATTAGGAAGATAGGTTATTTTCAACTTGGAAATGTATTCAAAAAGAAAATGTTGTAATTTTCATTGGTCATCTCAAAAAGGAAGTTTTTGCAAATTTTGTCGATTGGGAGTATGATACTTTACTTACTATTCTGATACTCGTATCCTCTTCAATTATGAAATAAATGTCACTAATATTTGGGTCGTTTCAAGATCAAGGAACTTGCTGAAAAGGCACGAGCAGGGAAGCTTACGCCAAATGAGTTCCAAGGTGGCACTTTCAGGTGATTTTTTTCGTTATCAATTATCAACAAGTTCTGATATTAACTTTGGCCTTAAAAGTCATTCGTTATAACAAGTTCTGATATTAACTTTGGCCTTAAAAGTCATTCATTATTAATATTGTTTTTGCGTATGTATATCTTTTACAGTATATCCAATTTGGGTATGTTTCCAGTGGACCAGTTTTGTGCCATTATAAATCCACCTCAGGTTATATCCTTATCTCAGTCACAGATCAACACAACTTCCCAACAACCTTCGTATTGTTTAAACAGAAAAACGTGACCAGTTGTTTCACGTGTGCAGTCCGGCATTCTTGCTGTTGGTAGGGGCAACCGGATCGTTGAAGCGGTGTTTGACGAGGATGGTAAACTCGGTGACTTTTTTTTGTATGTTATTTCAGTAAATAGTTGTCGAGAATGGTGATCCGTAAAACTTGAATTTACTCTGCCAGGAATCGAGAAACCTGCTATCGTTACAAAAATGAATGTAACACTATCTGCTGATCATCGCGTTTTTGATGGCGAAGTTGCAGGTATGTGGTTCTCCATTAGATATTTATGAAAATTTGCAATATTCACAAGTTCACGAGTCGATGCATGGATGTGTATAGTTATCTTAACCATAGCATTTTAGGGTCTTCTCAAAGAGCCTTAATTAGTTTACAAAAAGAAGAAAACAGTCGTTCTACTCTTTTTTGGTGTAGAGATCAGGTTTATGTATATCTTAGGGATTATTTGGTTGGTTTTTTTATGAAACCCTGTGTGGATAATTTTGTCTTTATGGATCAATATGTCTGTATAGATTTGGAAGGTTTTTGTTTGGGAGAGCTTTTTCATAAATGAAGAGGTGTGTTTTTTAATTGGGAGGGCAGGTTTGGTAAAAAGTTGGTTTTCTGCATAAAGCTTCCCCCTAGAAACTTATTGAATAAGCCACTTTTGATATCATTAAGCACTACCAAACAGTCATATATAGCTAAATGAATAAGATTTGAGTCTCATCAAACATGTAACACCCCTAAAATGGGGTATCAACAATTTCCAACAAAGAAGGAAATGTGGTATGTGATTATCAAAATACGAGCTTGTCCAAAAAGGGAATAGAGTATACCGGTTACATTACAATATGTAAATAAATTGGTTTGAGGTTAACAACCTCCTAATCTAATCCTTGAAGAACTAGATTATAATCAGGTGTCATCCCAAACCATCAAAAGGTTAACCATCTGCATAGTGCCCAAAAGTTTCTCAAGCTCACTCTACAAGTCAATGAAACCTTCTTGGTGGTCACGCCACTAGAACCTGAGATACATGTCAACACAAGCGAGTGTTAGGCCAAAAAGCCTAGTGAGCATGAACAAAACATAACCAACACAATTTATTAGTTGAAAGCATTTAAAACATTCGGTTGGATTAACAGGGGAGACCCGTATCAACTTACAAGCGTCACCATAAGAACGATTGACCTTAGTGTCTACAGTTGTAGATATCACCACCAAGGCCGGCACACTTAAAGACTACCTCCAAGGCATTACTTCAAGCGGCGGAGATCTTGGTATGTCACCAAGACAGCACTTCCGCACTCAACCCTCCTAGTGCCTACTCAAAGATTTGTCCCAACTTATAATTTCAAATAGGGATATTCATATGAGCAAGCAAATAGAACGTGCTTCACAATCCAAAGTTTAATTAGTGGTCCAACCACTATACTAATCATGTTTACAAAACAATATCCAACATATTATGACCCCAAAATTAGGTCAATAATGCCTCAAAATAGACCATTTAGTATTCTCCAAGTTCTTTAGTCATCCCTCACGAAATCTCTTTAAAAGCAAGTATAATCATGGAAGAGAAAACAAATACATAATTATAAGGAACAATTTCATTTTTATGCCTAAAAGTCCTAAGTTTATGATCAAATCACTTAATTATGACTAATGAGTAAATACTTGAAATAAGGCTAGAAGTGTAAGTAAGGTAAGCATTTTGACATGTATCTAGTTTTTACAAAGCATTTATACTCACCCACTAGGTTTTTAGGGAAAACCTAGAAAATAGCAAAATCCTAGAAATGGTGTTTTGGGG